CCTTCTCCTCTTTCAGAGCTCCAGCCAGCAGCCCAACAAGCTGACCCTACTGGGAAAGTTCTTCCATTGTCCAAGCAGATTGGCTGGATGTAGTCGTTCAGGGGGGGTGGGGATGACAGCTTTAGCACTGCGATGTTGCTTCCTGTCAGGTTGCTCATAGTGATATTTATCACATTCAGTGACACCTCAAATTCGTTTGATCCGTTGTGCTTCAGACGACCCAACATGACTGTCCACTCAGACGCCTCATTCGAGCTGAAGAATAGAACAAGGACTTTAAAAGGGCTAAAAGTGTATTTTAGCATCTTTTCAGTTTAAATAGCTATTTAGTTAGAGGCACACAGTGTAACTTTTGGCCTCTAGGTGCACTTGAATTGTTATTGTTATTGTTAATGCACGCATTTTGCTCTAGTAAACATCTGTCTGCTTTCTTACCCACATGCATAACACACCAAAAAGACAGGTAGGGCAGATTTAAGATCGTTTATTTGAAAAAAAAAAAAAAAGCAAAAACAAAAAAAGCAAGCAAAGTTTCTTCAGGGCATCTGGAAATGAAGGGGGCGTGGGGCACGCTGCTACAGAGAGCGAGAGTTGATGGGAGTATGTGTACAATGAGAATAACAGCACTAAAAGGCTTACTAAAAGAGTGCGCGGGGCTGAGGAGGTCCATGGGGGGGAGATGCAGGAGATGGCGGGGAAGGTGGCTGCCGAGCAGGAGGAGGCTGGTCGGTAGAGATTTAGTCGGGGCTGGACTAATTAGGCTGCGGAGTGGCGGCAAGTGACAGTCACCTAAGCATTGTGCAGGTTGAGCGCTTGTGTAACCGATTGAATCTCTGAGAGGTTGCAGAGCGGACCAGAGGCTGATCGGCTCGGCAGAGATCTGTGACTCTGTGCTCTGAAGTGGGATTCGGAGTGTACAACCACGGCTGGCTAACAGGAGAAAAACAAAGACTTTGCCGACACAAAAACCACCACAGCACCCTGACAGAATTGAAAATAACTGATATATGATTGTATCCAACATCTGTTTTGAATCTAGCTTCTTATTTCAGCCTACGGCAACGAATAAACTCCTTTCAATGACTAACTCTTGTTTTCCTCCGGCATGATCCCTCTCACGTTTTCTCTCTTAAGCCTCCTCAGAAGGTTTACATTTTTTTTCTTGCCATAACAAGTTGTAGAGCAGGCAGAAAAACAATAGAGCAAAAGCCTTAGCTCCATGGCTACGTAAGAGCCTGCAGCCATAAAGCGATACGTTCTTCTAGGTCATATGACCTGGCCATTGAAGGTTCGTAATCTCCAAACTTACATAGTCGGTATTTCAAAAGGTGAGCCCTGCTTGTAGCATTGATAGTGTCCAGCGCTCATCATCATTTAAAATAACTCATATGCATCAGCTCTTTAGGTCACAAAGTCCGTGGTGTGCCTTAAGTTGATGTTATTTCTGGAAACCTGTTATCCTCAGCTTCAACTTACTCTGAGAAGCAGTCAGCATTGGTCAGCACAGAGTTCTCAGACACTAGCGTCCCTCCACAGACATGCTGGCCATTTCTCTGCAAGCTCGCCATCCATGGCCACTCGCCAGCTGACGTCACTGAAACACCTCCCAAAATACGAGAACCCAGTGGGGCTTGTCCACAGACTACAGCTGAAAAAAAAAAGAAAGGAAGGGGAAAACTTTTGACTAATAAATTGCAGAGACGTATTTCAGTAAAACACATTAACTTTACAATGCAGAACGATAATTTATGCGTACAAATTTCACAAGTGACCATAAAATACCTCGCTTTCTGTTTTCTGTGGCTCCAGTAGCCTTTATTTGATAGTAAACAGGATATAAAGCATTAAGACGTAGAGAAGATACACATTTTAAAGCTGGCGTTATTGCAAAAAGGACCCCATATATGGATTGTGTATTCTAACTTCTTTTACTCAAATCCAAAATTTTACATAATAATTTCTTTCTTTGCTTTTGATATGCCATCCTGGAAGACATTTATGCCAAAGCCAACCACTCAATGATTTGGAAAACTATGTAGACAACAGTAGTTGTAATAATTTTTAGATCCAAATTGGAATCACACCAGTACAGTCTCCTTTAGAAACTAGACTCTGTCACTGTACTAAAGGTTTGGTGAGAAGAGAGTGTAAGCTGCAATAGCTAACTTGTTAGGACGAGACCTACCATGGTGAACAAGCAGCCATAGTAGAATATATTATCGTATTCCATGTTTTCAAACCTACCTCAGACACACTCTTTGAAACTTAAACACATTCACATTAGGGTCATTACCAGTAGTGATACATCTTGTAGATAGAACTGTAGTTGGTGGTAGAGCAATATGTGTTGAGTTTAATAAGTTATAATCTTCGTCTTAATTAAATTGAGTTTTACCTGTTATCCTTTTTGTATGTGCTCTTGGACTGAGCTAAAAGACATTATTTATGGGAGAATTATCCTGCCATAATGCAAGAGCGCATAATTTCAATTTGAGAAAAGAATTTCATCTTCTTGCACTCAAAACTTATAATGCTCATACTCAAAACATGCGCTCTCTCTCAAATATTTTCTCTTCTCTCTCAAATCTTTGTTTCTTCTCTCAGATTTAATGCTTCTTGCACAGATTTTTTCTCCTCTCGCTAGCTTCCTTCACTTCGCGCACAAACCGCGCTCTGCTCGAGTCTCAGCAGAGAGACT